AGAGGAATGGATTTTAAGATTGAACTTGATGAACATGATAGTACTATGTAACTATGGAACTTGTCTAGATTTTACTCATCTGGAATTTGTCCCAGTCAGAGTGAAATAGGCACTGCAAATGCACAAATGGCTACTGTTAGAGACACATTGCAGGAACAGATGTGGCATTACAACTCTGCCTTGTATAATGTATATTATTGCACAGAAATCATCAGATACAGCTGTCTTGATAGGTATATACATATATTCCCTAATTACCAATCCTCAATTTGATATGAAAGAGAGGTCATTTCACATAAAGAAAAATATTTTCTTTAAAAAAAGTATGGCTCTGAAAAAAATTAAGAGACCACTGCAAAATTACCAGGTTCTCTGTTTTGTAGGTATGTGTTTATTCTAAAAACTACTGAGAACAATTCTCCCAAATTCCAAATAAAAATATTGTAATTGCAATGTTTTCAGACATTGAATAATGCAAAGAATATACTTTCATATTTATTATTAAACAATACAATAGTAATATTTGAGGAAAAATTCAGAAATCAATATTTCGTAGGATATCCCTGATATTCTATCACAGCTTACATGGGTCATAGCATGCTCTCCATATGTCTTTCACATTGCTATTGGGTAACATTGCCCCTCTAGGCATATTCAGACAGCTCAGCTTTGTTTAATACTGTGGCGTATTCATCCGCACATAAAAATGTGGTTAATGGCATTTACTGTCCTGACATGAAAAGTTGTGCCGAGCAACATTACCGTCCTGACAGGAAAAGTTGTGCCGAGCAACATTACTGTCCTGACAGGAAAAGTTGTGCCGAGCAACATTACTGTCCTGAAAGGAAAAGTTGTGCCAAGCAGCAATCATGCAAACCTGGTAATTACTTTTGGGGTCAAAGGTAATGTGCATGGCCAATCAAATCCACAGGTGGGTTTGTAATTGCCTTTGGGGTCAAAGGCCGGTTACAGCCAATCGGATCCATGGCAGGAATATTTAAACACAACTCTCCTCTTGTTCATTGCCCTGTTGTGGTTTCATGCCTATGGTTATCCGAGAGTGAGTTCCTGATCTTATTTTCTTGCATTTGACTTTGGCTTTGTTTTGACTTCCCTGATATCTGGTATCTTTGACTTTTGGCTTTCCTTCATCTTTGTGTCTGATTCTGTGTCCCTGACCTCGGCAAGTACTTTGACTATTCTTGGAGACGTTAAGTCCGGCCATTCTTAGGTCCAGTTATATGTTATCCTTAGTCCTAGGTGTGACACAGTACTGCGTGCTGGATCAACTTGTAATCCTGACAAATACACTGTGACCATCTATCTTCCTCTTCACATTCTAGAGACTTTAAGTGTGGTTAAGATCTGGGGATTGGGTTGGCCATAACAGGGTCTTGATCTAGTGAAGTTTTCTTCAAAAATTACCTTGTACATGGCGTGATTAATGTGTCTTACAAAAATAAATATGCCCAATTATAGTCTTGCGGAAGCACTCCCAGATCATCACTGATCCTCCACCAATTTCCACAGTGGTTATGAGACATTGTAGCTTGTAGTCTACTCTAGGTCTCTGTCTAAGCATTAGATGACCAGCTGTTGGGCAAAACTGAAAATTGGACTCATCAGAGAAGATGTCCTCTTTAGTCCAAGCCTTATGGTCTGTTGCTATAGCTTGACCGGTCACCCCAGTCAGTGGAGAGTCATTTTAGCCCTCTGCTTTGTAGCTTTGTTGTCCTCAATGTCTGCTGCTTTACCTTGTTGTTATGAACTGATGTCTTTGAATTTTTAAGCATGGGAGCAATGCTCACTGTATTTACCTGCCAGTAAAACCAGAATGGAGCCCATATGTTCTTAAATCAAAACCTACTTTTGACATGGTCTATTGGAATTCAATAGATACTGGAATGGAATGGCTGCCATACATGTAGAGATGCTGATTTAGGATTGATTGTTCCTGTTTTCCAGAGCTGTATATTCCTGCTGTCAGCTACTAATAGCACCTTCTTGAGCAATGCTGCAAAACAAGCCATGTCTATCGTTATTTATTTATTTATTTATTTATTTATTATCCTTATTAAAAATTCAGTATACATAAAACATTTGAAAAGTACAAAGCTTCTTAGCTGGACACATGCATTTCCTCACAACAGCTCTCAGATCTCATTCAAGATTAATTGTGGCCTTTTCCTTCATATTTATTTATTTATTTTTGTTTCACTGGTATCCTGCTGAAATGGGTAATAAATACTTTCTTCTGCATCTAGCCTTTGAGTCAGCCAAAATATATTATAGGGTTAAAAACTAGTGTAGCAACTCATGCTTTGTTTCTTTGATCAGTTAAAGCGGCACTGTCATGCCGAAGTTACCTTTCCCTAATCACTTCCTCTTCTCTTCCTCTCTCAGGATCTGTTTTTCCTTTCTTCCAGTCTACTCTAGTTTTCTTTAAAACATAAGAACAATACAAAACTTGATGAACATGATAACACTATGTACCTATGGAATTTGTCCCAGTCATAGTGAAATAGGCACTGCAAATGCACAAATGGATACTACTGTTAGAGGCACATTGCAGGAACAGGTGTGGCATTACAAGTTTTGTATTTTGTCTTATGTATTTTTCCTACGCTTGACCAGCTTTGACCAGCGAAGG